AGGGGGTGCTGTAGTTTGAACATTGAGGACAAGAGTTTGTTGCTGTTCATACAGAGTTTTATAGAAATCACAACTGCGGCATTTCTGTTACCCTACTGCCCCCTGTTGGGCCTATATGCTATCACTGTTAGCCACAAACATCCTGAGGTTTTTTTTTTAATCGCTCTGTGTTGAAACCAAAATAATTAAGGTAATAATTTAGTTGAATATTTATGATTTGTGGATAATTTTTTTTTGTCAATTCTTGTTGACTTTGACCTTAAATGTTCAAAAACACGGAGGAGGAAAATATGTGTGTTTGAATCCTGGACTCCTGCAGAGACGACGTCCAGCTCCTCCACGACTCCACTGTGTCTGTGGTCTGGAAACACTGACAGAGAGAGAGAGAGAGAGAGAGAGAGGGAGAGAGACCACAACTGGCTGCAATGAGTCAGTGAATCTGAGGTGAGGGAGAATCAAACGAGGAGGAAGCGACGAGGCCAAGAGGCAGGGAGGGAGGGAGGAGGCAGAGTGTCGTCGTTTTTAGACAGAGGGAGGAGCTTCACTGCCTCTGAGGCTCACACGTGTGTGTGTGTGTGTGTGTGTGTCGGGGAGAGCAACTGTTATTGAGAAAGAGAGAGAACGGCCAGCTGCTGGCTGAAGAGAGGACGACACCACAACAACGACCACGACGAGGAGGAGGAGGACGAGGAGGAGGAGGAGGAGGAGTGACTCCTCAGACTGGTCCTACCTGCCGGCATTTCTCCTCTCTCTCTCTCTCTCTCTCTCACCCAGTCACTGCGTGCAGCGTGGAGCTGTGGAGACGTGGACACGAGGACGTGTCTCCTCTCCTTCCCGTCCTATAATTATCCGACTCCTGGATTAGACTCAGATGAAGCTCTGATTACACAGACTGGGATTATACAGGAAGATGTGGTCGGATTACAGGGACGAGAGTCACCTCAACGCTCACCTGTACTCACTCATGTGCTGTGCAGGTCGGTGTGTGTGTCTGTGTGTGTGTCTGTGTGTGTCTCTGTGTGTGTTTGCACCACGTGTTTGAAGAAGTTCCTGTTTTGGTGACAGATTTGGACGAATGTGGGTCGATCCATTCAACATGGTCGTTCAGAGAGACAGAGAGTGTGTGTGTGTGAGAGAGAGAGTGTGTGTGATTGTTGTTTGTGTTGACAGCATGGAAAGGGGGGGGTGTGTCCTTTCTAAACAATGCCCTCCTCTGTGAATGAATGAGCGCCTTCTGTGACTGACACGCACACACACACATACACCACACACACACACACACACACACACACACACACACACACCTTTTCTATTTCCATGGTTGACAACATTTTTATTTTTTATTTTATAAAACACACACCTTTTCTATTTCCATGGTTGGCAACATTTTTAGTTTTTATTTTTTTATAAAAATATTTTTCCAAACTCTGCAACCTCTTGACCTCTTGACCTCTTGATGATTTGTTGCCTTTTCTCTGCTAACTCTTGATGCTTTATTTATTATTGTTTACCTTTTTGCTACGCTAACAACGCTAGCCTCTCAGTTACTCACATTTACCAGTTTGATACTGATCCACCCAATGTTTAAAAAAACAAACAAATCCCTAGTAAAACTGTGTAACACGGTGTGACTCATCCAGCAGACACGTGTGACAGGCTAGCTAACGTCATCGCTAACGTGGTGCCAAAAGAAAAACAGTGACGACGTCCCTGATACTGACCACATCATCCTAGATTAGAGCAGAGATTAGGATTAGGATTAATCTGTCACTACAGATGTGTGTGTGTGTGTGTGTGTGAGAATGTGTGCACGTCTGGGCTAACAAGCTCAGCTTCTCTGTCAGGTTTCTGTCTGGAGTCTGAAGGCGTGTTGTTGAAGCCATGAAACTATTTTCTAACTCTTCAGTTATGCATGTTGAAATATGTGTTCTCAACTCAGGGGCGTGGCCTCGGAGTGGACTCACAAGTTACACTGTGTGTGTATGTGTGTGTGTGTAGAAGAGATAGATAAGAGGAAGTGACCTCGTCCCTCGTGGCTTCACCATAGCAGCAGATAAACAAATGGCAGGAAGTGATTGCACCTGCTGCAGGATGCTGACTCCTGATTGGCTCAGGCAGAATCTGGAGGGAAATCCCTTTTGTGTCTGTGTGTGTGAGAAACTGTGTTATCTTATCACCTTTCTTTCTCTCACACACACACACTTGTGTTTGTCAGCGTTGGTTGGTTGAAGGTTAACAGACGCTGAGTTGGTATTTGAAATATTTCAGCAAATATTTCAGTGTTTCAACATTGAATTCTTAACATCACATCAAGTACTTTGTCAAGTATTTCTAGTAGTTCAAGTATTTTTATTGCAAATTTAAATTGTGTTTATATACATATATGGACATATATGTATATACTGTATATGTGTGTATATATATTATATGAAGTATTTATATATTATTAGAATTAAAGAGAATGTTAGCGTTCTCATATTTGACCAGTGTTTCAGTGAGTTGACGTTTTGCTCCGACACCTACCTCACGGCAGCGACTGGAGGATTATCTTTAATCCCAGAATGACTCCCAGAGTGTCGGCTGTCAGAGAGCGACAGTTGGACACTGAGTGACCGACACTGAGTGACCGACCGGCCCAGTGCGTCGGTCACTCAGGAATGGACACTTGAAGATAGACAGGGTGCAGATAAAGAGTCCCAGTCACAGAGGGAGAGAGGCTCGGTGTGGGTGAGGAGGAAACAGCAGGAGGAAGAAGAGGAGCCAAGATAAGACAGTTGTGGCTCAACATCAGGCTCTATTCCTGTCCTGGCTTGAGAATGGCAGGACGTTGGAGAAACGGTGGAGAACAGAGGTTCTCAAGCAGTGGCCCGCGGGCTGGACGTGGACCATGAGATGAACGCGTGAAAGGAATCTGTTTTCATTTCCTTCACTGTGTGTTTGATCAACATTGGTCTAAATATGTGTTTATAGACTGACCATAATGACTCGACCTTTGACCTGTTGAAATATGTCTTTAAGATTTGAAATTGACAAACCCTGGTTCAGAGTGAGGCCCTGTCCTGCCTGTGGTTCAGTGGGTTGTAGGTTTGATTCCACCAGGTCCAAAGTCCCAGTCTGGGAGTTGAACCTGGGACTCTCCGGTCCATGTGGCCACACGTCCGTGGTCCGTGAGACTCGTGTTTGATTTCTGCAGTCGGCCGGCTGCAGGTTCAAACGCTGCCTTGCTTCGTTGGTTTCACGGCTGTGTGTACTCAGTGTGATGTCATCGCAGTAAAACAGACCTGAAGAGGTTTTTATCACTGGGAGGAACAGGAAGTTCCTTCTGTTTGACTTTCCTTCAGACGGTGGACGACTTTATCAGATAAGAACCGCTGAAGGAACCGCGGCTCCACAGTAGAACCTTCACAGACATTCAGGGTTAGAACTGCAGTTCTCCAAAAACCATAAAAACAAGGTCAAAGCTGCACCTCTAGGGGGCCACTCCCCCCATTTTGAGAACCAATGTGTTTGTAAAAGTGCATGAAAAACAGTTTTTTTTATGGTATTGTATGTGTAGTATAAATACTTTGAATTATAAATTAAGGGTAGATGAAATGGTTGTTGACATCAGGTCAAAGGTCAGTTGTGAGGGATTTGATTTGAGGACCAGGAGCGACCCCCAGGCTGTGGGTTTGACACCCCTGAGCGAAAATTAAAGGGGCATTAGACGTTGGGGGGAATGAGCTGGTGAATGTTGTTCCTCCATGGGATGGACCAGTGTCCCCGTCCTGTCCTGATGTCCCTGTCCTGATGTCCCCGTCCTGTCCTCATGTCACCTGTCGTTGGCTCCAGTCCCCGTCACCACAGTTAATTGGATGAACAGTGTTCCATCAGGAGGAGGAAACTCAGTCTCATCTGTTTCAGTTCAGCGTTGACTTGTTTACCTGTTGACTTGTTCACTCGTTGACTCGTTCACTCGTTGACTCGTTCACTCGTTGACCCGTCAGCTCCCGCTCACTGTATGTCCGTATGATGACCCGACCTCTGACCTTTTCGTTCTGTTGTGTCCTTCCTGCAGATGAGAGGGACCGGGTCCAGAAGAAGACCTTCACCAAGTGGGTCAACAAGCATCTCATCAAGGTGGGTGTCTCTGTGTCTTTACAGTCTGGACATGTGATGACCTTTGACCTTTGAAATGGGAGCGGTTCTTTAGACATTTGTAGAAGAAAAGCTAATAGAAGGTGTGACGTCTGTCCAGGGTGAGTGAACGTTTTGACCCTCAGTCTCAGGGCGGACCAAAATATGAAATATAAAATGCATTAAATATAATGGACGGTAATATATAATATATAATAAAATATATATCGTTGAGGACAAAAAAAAAAACTCCACGTCTGAGAACAGGAACAACTGAAATCCACCAACTTTTTTTTATGGATTTCATGATCAATCACAACCACAATCAATCACGATTAATTGCGATTAGTCGACAGCCGCCCTGCGATTAATCGGTGAAAACTCCAGCACACCTGCGTCAGTCTACGGTGATGAAACTTCAAACGGTGTCTGACTGTCTCAGTGACTGACTCAGGAGAGGGGAATGATGGGTATCTGTGTCACATGACCCCATAACTGCGGAGCGACTGTGACGAGTGGCGCGGCGTCTGAAACTGTATCTGAGCCGACGAACGCCGCAGCAGCTGCGAATGTAGGTCAGAGATGGAAGGACACGGACGGCGGAACTGTCTCACTGGCATCACTGTGATCACTGTGTTTACTGTGATGGCTGTGAGAACAGTGATTACTGTGATTACTATGATTACTGTGATAACAAACAAGGAAACATAAAAAAGGTACAATGACAGAACAAAGGTGAAAAACATTAGCCTGAAAACTAGCGTGAATGCTAAACAATAGTGCTAACATAAACAAACCCAGAGATCAGCTCCAACAAAGTGAACGTTAATGTTAATATTATTTTATTCGTATTGTGACCTCAGACGTCTGATGATGATGATGATGATGCAGCGTTAGATGGTCCTTCATCAGAGTGAAAATGAGACCAAATCATCGTCATCATCATCACTTCCACATCAGTGTTAGATTTCGAGTCACTTCCTGTCCTCTCACTATCACATCAGATTCATCAGCTCCTCTCTGAATGTGTCACAAGGGGGCGAGAGTGAGACAGTGATAGGAGGGATGATGATGATGAAGATGTTATTAATTGTCTCAGATGGTTCTAGATCAGAACCTGGTGATAAAACAAAATAAAAACCAAACGTGTCACAGACCAGTCTGAACTGGTTTGTCCGAGGACGTTTTTTTTTTTTCTTAGACCCACAGTTTGATTCGCACTCTGGTGGAAAGATGATGGTGATTCATCAGTGTTGACTCAACTCTTGCCTTTGTTTCCTTCTCTGCCTCCTTGATTCCTCAGGTGAGGAAACACATCACCGACCTGTACGAGGACCTGAGGGACGGACACAACCTGATCTCCTTACTGGAGGTCCTCTCTGGAGTCACTCTGGTACACAGTCTTCACAAGCTTTTTTTTAAAACTTTTTTAACTGCTCCCTCTTTTCCTCAGTCAAGTCTTCACTCTGTCCTCATCCACCAAAAAATCTCACCACCCATCTCCTCTGTCCTCCTCCTCCTCTGTCCTCCTCTGTCCTCCTCTTACATCAGCTTCAGAAAAGCGGCCCTCCTCAGAAGAGGTCGTACGCCTCGCGGGCTCCTCCTCTCATCCTCCTCCGAGGAGAGGATGAGGAGGAGGAGGAAGGAGCTCAGGGAGTACGTCTGAGTGCCGACACTTTGTTTGATAGCCTCAGTTTTTGCCTCCACCCAGCAGGTGGAGCTGTGAGGCTGCATGAGTGTGGAGTGCTGTGTCACTGACTGTGTTCTGGCTTCACACGGTACCGATGCCAACGGTTCTGTTGTTGGGTGACAGCATCAGAACATAACCACGTCTGGTGCTTTTACTGTTTCAACTTCACACACACAAAAAAAGAAAAACATAAAAAACAAAACTACAGCTTTAAAAATTCCATCATGGAATTAAAGAAAAATGAAGTGAACCTTTGTTTTTCACAGATATGTTTTCACTCAACGATTGTTCTTCTCTGCTGCTCCGCATGTGTTTGCAATGTAAAAAAAAAAAATCAGTAGCATTAGCTGCTGTAGCCTGTTAGCCTGTTAGCTCATTTAAATCTTAACTTCAAGGTTTATTTGACACTAATGGAAAAACACATAAATTATTACTTTATTAGGAGTAAAAATATTATTATGAAATATTATTGATATTGACATTAATAAAAAAATCAGTTCATAGTTTTAACTCAGTGACGTAAAATTAGTTTTCTCTCCTACGATGTTTTCTTTTCTCTCCTTCATTTTGTGCTGATTTAACAACTAACACGAGTGACTGCAGTGAAACTGTTTTTGTTTTTTTTCATGGTGTGACGATCACCGTTGTGAGATGTTATACACATGGCGACAGCGCCACCCAGAGGATCGTTTCACCAAACACAGGCTGCACTGCTGGGTTTATTTCACACTGCTGCTGCCGCTGCTGCTGCTGCTTCTCTGCCTGCGTCACTGACGTCACGGTTTTGTTTTTATTCATTTTTTCTCTCTTTTTTTTTTTCTTCTTATTTTTCTCGACTGCAGCCCAGAGAAAAGGGGAGGATGAGGTTCCACCGACTACAGAACGTCCAGATCGCACTGGACTTCCTCAAACAGAGACAGGTGAGAGAGACAGACAGGTGTCCAGCCATTGGTTCAAATACTGTGTCCTGATTGGTTCTCTTTTCGTCTGGACATTTTTAAATGTTAACATACTGTGTCCTGATTGGTTGTCTTTTCATATGGACATTTTTAAATGTTAACGTTGGGTTTTTTTTTTTGGCTTTAATTCCAGGTCAAACTTGTAAATATCAGGAATGATGACATCACAGACGGGAATCCCAAACTGACGCTAGGTCTCATCTGGACCATCATCCTTCACTTCCAGGTCTGTGTGCAGCTCTGCTTGTTACTGGTTCATACGTGGCCGTGTGGGCGGGACATCAGCGTCCTTCAAATCTGTTTATTTTTTTTTTTTACAAATTCTACACTAGGTGGTGCCATATATGCAGTTACTATTTTGACCACTACATGGTGCTGTGATTTGACCTCTCTAAGTTGACATTGCCACGGTGGTTGGTTGCCATGGAAATAGTAGTTCATGCCACCATGGCGACGGCTTGGGTGACTCAGCAGAACAGGCTGCTGCGGAGTGTGCAGTGGGAGGACAGAGTCAGAGGACGGGGGTCCTGGGGGACAGAGAGACAGAATGAGGACGGAGGACGGCTGCAGGAGACCTGGATTTAAGAAGAGGGTGGGGTGGGGTGAGGGTGGGGGGTGAGGGAGGGAGTGAGCCTGAGTTGACAGGGTTCAACAGATGATGACAGTTCTACATTAGAGCTGCAGTGAGAAAACCCCAGTGGCAGATCAGTGTTACTGCAGTCTGTGAAATGACTGTCAGTCCATCAGACCCACGTCAGACCTCAGCTATTTAACACCCTGACCCCACCCTGACCCCACCCTGACCCCACCCTGACGGAGGTTGTCTGGAAGCTCGGTCACACACCTCCTTAGAAAG